AAACTCAACAGGACTTCAGAAGACTTATCAGGTACTTGTTCTTATTAAAATGTTATTAAGAACTTTTCTTTTATCTGAGGAGCAGCTAAGGCTCGATAGGAAAAACTTTAGAGATCCTTTTTGAAAATCAGGACTCTTTAATTCATCATTGTGAAGAAGTTATTGAGAAAAAATGGGACAAAGAAGTTTGTATGAATTTTCCCTTCCTCGTAAAAGGATTTTCTTTTGCTATTGCTATTGGACAAGAGAATACTGATAATATGAATGGACATCTAAAATTTCTAAAATATTTGATTTTTATCAAAATGTTTGATTTTTATTGGAATTTGGCCCTTGAATAAAGAGAAAATAGAGCATTAAAGGCTGTGAGACTGACCTACTATGCTTATGAGAAAGAGTTACAAATAAACATTATCTTCTGCCTTAAAAAAAAAGTAGGACTGATAGTTGGTCTATACTGATTCTTGTTCCAGATTTTCATTGACATGCTCCAGATTTTTAGTGATTTCCCACAGTGACTTTTGTTTCACTGTCAACAAATAATAGCTTAAAGTTCCTTCCAGAAATAAAATGTTATGATACTAATCCAAGTAAATTTTATATTAGATGCAGTAACATGACAGTTTATTATCAACTGCAACTCACCTGAATTACCTTTAAAATGCCTTGCTTTAGCAGAGCACAGTGGTGCACACCTGTAATCCCAGCAGCTCAGGAGGCTGAGACAGGAGGATCATGAGTTCAAAGCCAGTTTCAGCAAGGATAAGGTACTAAGCAACTCAGTGAGTCCTTGTCCCTAAATGAAATACAAAATAGGGCTGGGGATGTGGCTCAGTGGTTGAGTGCCCCTGAGTTCAATTCCCAGTAGCCCCCCCTCCAAAAAAATCCAAATTTAAAATGCCTTGCTTTTAGAAATTCTCGTTTACATGTTTTTTTTATTAAATAAAAATATAAATGTGACCTTGAGGTAGGAGAACAATTTTATGATACACATAAAACATTAAAGCGAATGCAGAATCTAGAGGGTGTAAAATAGCAGAGGTTGTCGCTGTATATGAAGCCTAATTAAAACCAATTTTTAGCAATAATTTCATTCCTGATAATCTATGAACCATATGCATGGCAGAGTATGTAAATGAATCGCACAATATTAAGATGGTTGGATGATCGGATGGATGATAATTACCATTTGAGGGAAAGACAGATGGAAAGAAACATATGATCCTTTTAGTATCCTCAATAGTGCTTAATTTGAAATCTCTTTTACTTGGGGCTGAAAAAAATTTTAAAATGCTGCTAGATTATTTGTAAAGTGATGCAGATGCGCATTCCACACATGGAAAAGAAACAGGGGCTTATGGAGTAGAGAACATAATTTCAGATTGTATTTTCAGTACTTTCAGCATGAAACTTTCTTATGCTTTATGTTATAATCATAGCAAGACCTGTGGTGAAGAAGGTTTTTGTTTTAAATCATCTTCTTTTTGTCCTAAATGCACACATGAGGTTATTGGATCAAAGGCAGATTATTATGACACAATCATAATTGTTCTGGGTCCCCTTGTCCCAGCTTTTAATCTTGGAGAGGACCAGATGTCACCCTGAAATGGACCTGGACTGGAAGAGAGGAATTCTAAGAGAATGATTCTGGGCTTGTACATGAAGAAAGGCAGCTGTCTTCCTCCTCTTCAAAAAGGAAAGAGAAATAAACTCCCTGCTCCTCAAGGCAAGGTGAAACTATCCTGGGTTCTTGATCCAAATCTTAAGCATATAAATAGCCAGACACAGTGGCACATGTCTGTCATCCCAGTGATTCTGGAGGCTGAAGCAAGAGGATCACAAGTTTGTGGGCAGGAATTTAGTGAGACTCGAACTCAACGTAAAAAAATAAAGAGGTCTGGGAATGTAGCTTAGTGGGAGAGTGCCCCAGGTTCAATTCCCAGGACCAGAAAAGAAAGGAAGGAAGGAAGGGAGAAAGAAGGAAGAGATAAAAGTAATAAATTGTCCAAGGGCAGAGAAGACAGTGTGTTTAACTCCACAACCCAGACCTGTCTCCAAGGTCCCAGGCTTTACCCCAACACGGATGAAAACACACATCTCGGAAATTATGTAAATCTCTTGAGTGCTCTCTAACTACATGTAATTACCTTCTAGAGCTTGGTTTTTCTTCAAAATCTCTCAAGTATCCATTAAATTTACTGAGAAAATTCTAATTGTGTAGAAGGACAAATATATTTCTCCTACACCCCAAAGTCTTATGAAATTAGTTCTTCCTCTGAATGAGCATATGGTTGCCCAGCTAAAGATCCCATTTCCTAATCACTTTCAGGTAGATGTGGCCATGTGACTGAGTTCTCACCATGAGAAAATTTTGTTTCTGGTATGGCACTGTGTGCAAACTAACATTGAAACCATGAACTCCCTTGGGCCGGGATTGTGGCTCAGTGATAGAGTGCTTGCCTAGCATGTGTCAGGCATTGAGTTCGATTCTCAGCACCACATAAAAATAAATAAAATAAAGGTCCATCAATATCTAAAAAAAAAAAAAAATTTTAAAACCATGAACTCCCTTATGTTTTCTGTGGTATGCAGGGAATGTTTCAGAGTTTCTCCCAAAACTTTATAAACTTTGTACTTCTTTTGTGAGTTTATGGTAGTAGCAGGAGTGCCTCAATTAATTGAAATTATCCATTTAACATAAGATTGAGAAGTGATACTGACAGAATTAGGTCTGGCAAAGTATATGAACAACTTACATAAGAAAAGCCATTATTTAGTTCAGCCATATTGTAGTTATTCATTTTATTAGTTTTTATATTTTTATGTATTTATTCATATATCACATTTATTTAGCACCTCCTATGTGAAATTTCTGTTGGAAATGGAGAACAAAGTCTGCAGGATCACTCATTTCTCAAATGAGGAAAAAAATGAGGATTAGCGGAGTGACCAAATGGGCTTTTCCCACACATGGTAACAGAGTCTTTTAGTTTTTCCGCATTAATTTCTTCATCATTCCTGAAGGATATCTTCATGGGGTAAAATAATTCTGGCTTAACATTTCTTTTCATATGCTTCTTGAAAGATGCTCACTTACTTTGGCCTCCATGGTTTCTAAAGAACAATTTACTATGATTTGGATTATTGTTCCTCTGTATCAAATGTATCTTTTCTCCCTGGCTGCTTTCAACATTTTTCTTTTGTTTTTAGGGATCAGAAATTTGATGATGATCTGGATATGGTGGCGCATGCTTGTAATCCCAGCAGCTGGGGAGGCTGAGGCAGGAGGATCTCCAGTTCAAAGCTAGCCTCAGCAACTTAGTGAAGTGCTAAGCAATGCAGTAAAACCCTGTCTTTAAATAAAATACAAAAAAGGGTTGGGAATATGGCTCAGTGGTTGAGTGTCCTTGACTTCGATCGCCAGTAACAACAACAACAAAAAATTTATTATGAACATGTGGAACTTTTTTTGAGAGTATACTATTTAGAGTTCACTCAGTTTCTTCTCTTTTTTTCTTTTGTGGTGCTGGAGATCAAACTTAGGGCTTTGTACATGTAAGGCAAGCTACTTGAGTCTGTAGGTTTATGCTTTTCACTAAATTCAGGAAATTTCTAGTTATTATTTTTTTGAATACTGTTTCAACTCACACTGCTTTTCTTCTTGTGATTCTGATGACAGATTCTTGATAGCTTTTCCCTCCTATCTTCTTAAGTTCAGGTATTTCTGTGGCTGTATCTTCAAAATTTTTATGATACTGTTCCTCTAATATCGACATTCTGCTGAGCACATCCAGTAAGTTTGTTACTTAGCATATTTTTCAGTTCTACAATTTCCATTTATGTCTCCTTCATGTCTTTTATTTCTTCTTTCCATTCAAGGGTTTGTATCTGCTTATTGAAGCCTTTTATGATGACCGCTCTAAAATCCTTGTTGGATAATTCCAACATGTGTAATCCATTGTTGGCAACTGTTAAATGTTTTTTTTTCTGATTCAAGTTGAGATTTTCCTGGTTCTTGATATAATGAGTGATTTCTCTCCATCGTATCCTAGACGTTTAGGCATTAAGTTATAAGACCCTGGATCTTAGTAAATCTGTCTAGTAAGCCTCTGCTGAGTCTGTGTCTGCAGGGGGAAGGGTAGAAATCACGGCTGCCCATGTGGCTTCCACTGGCAGTGCACTCTACTGGGGAAGGGGGAGGACAGAAGGAGTGCTTTGCCACCTGAAACTTCTGCCCATGCTCTGTACCATTCCAGAAGAACAGAGAAGGAGTGCCTCATTCCCATCTGGCGAGGAAGCATATCTAGGCTCTCCACTCGACTTTTGCCAAGGGGAGAGTGAAGGGATGGGAGTGGAGCTGTGATGTTTTCCCTGCAATTTGACTGAATAAGGGCAGTTTGGGTCAAAAAGTTTCTATTTGCCCAGCCTGTCCCTTTCCTCATCTTTGGCAAAATAAAACAGGCTTTATGGGGAACATTTTTTGTCTGCATACCTTAGCATTTCTAAGGGCTCCTCCAGCATCCAGCTTGGCACCCAGGCACTCAGCACCATGTTGTTCCTTAGGGAATGTGGGTCTCTGGGATCCTGGCCACTCCACCTCCTTTTCTCCACCTCTCAGGGTCTTGTGTCTATGTATATGTAACATCCAGGGTTTCTAGCTTACTTAGAAGAACAAGGGGGAAGTGCATCTGCTCCATCTTTTCTGGAACTAGAAGACCACAATTCCCTTAGCAGAAAATATTAGTCCCCCACCCCACACACACACCATTTGTTTCCAGCTAGAGAGATGGAACTTTTCCAGAAAAAAAAAAAATCTAGAAACACCTCCATTTTGCTAAACAAGTTGAAGGGTCTTTCCCCAAGGGTCTCTGGTGCACAGTATGCCCACAGTTCACTAGTTGAGGAGCGAGAGAGGAACTTTAGAAAAAGTAGAGCCAGCAGGTAAGGGGAAACACCATTTGTTTATTGGTGGTTAATGAATTTTTTTCTTTTTTTTTTTCTTAACTCCAACATACTCCACACTTCAGTATATGAATGTTTCAGTAGAAACATTTACAAAGTGAGCTTGAAATCATCACAATTAAAGCATTATATATTCTACCCTCCCCCCAGAACATTTCCTCTCCCAGATAATAATTAAAGAAAAAAAAAAAACCTTTCCTTTTTATTCTGCTTTTTATTTAGATCTTAACTGGTACTGTAACTTCTCTTTCTTGGTTGAAGTGTCATAGGATCTCTATCTATAACCACAAAACCCAAGCAGAGTGTGAAAGTAAAATGATGAACTTGATGTTGATAGGGTGGTTTATTGATGATGAACATAACTTCCAAGGTCATGACTGATATGTTAATCTTCTTATTATGGATCTTTCGTGACTGAACTAGAAGATCTATTCAAGGCTTGATGATCAATCATGCCTGAAAATGAATGGGTTAGGGGTAGTTTTCTGAGGATTCACCTTTTTTCTTTTTTCTTTTTTTTTTTTTTTTTTTTTTTACCCCTGCTTTGTTTTTCTATCGAAAGCTGCTGCAAGGCCTTTTTTTTCTTATAAGACCTCTTGCAATATGATTATTGAGCTGGTTGTTACGAGCTTTCTTAGTAAGACAAATATCCAGGCTTTTAGAGATTCCGATTTTTTTCTGAAGTGTGCCCCTCATTTCTTGCGTGTTCTCCTTATCAATTTCTACTTGTTCTGTTTCTGATGTCTTCCATTTTTTCTTGCTGTGTTCCGGGTTTATGTGATTCAGCTTCTCCACGGGGGTTTCCTCTTGGTGCAGATGGAGTTTCTTGAGAAGCTCAACTCTCTTCTGTAAGATTTGGCATTCATTGTCCAGCAAAGAGGCCACCAAGTGCAGAGAATAGGTGTCCTTGTTCAGTTTCCTTACTTGCTCTTCCAGCTCATTCTTAATGGACACCTCATTATTTGGTTTCATTTGGAAACTGGCTTTATTATTTTTAAAGCTTTCTTTTCTGTCTGTCTGAGATTTCTGATATGATTGGATTAGTCCGTGGAGCTCAGTATGTTGCTTGCTCCAGTGTTCTGCTTCTTGTAGTAGCTGTTCCATGTTTTTCAGAAGTTTAATATTTTCTTCTTGAACATGAGGGAATCCATACTTTCCTGCTTCGTCACTTGGTTGAGTTTCATTAAGGACTCCTTTTTCTTCTGAACAATTTGCCAAATCCTTTTCAGAAACTTGGACCTTGTTCTTGGTAGTCTGGTTCTCACAGTCCACCTCCTGTTTCTTGGCATTCCGTTTTTTCTCTGGGACGGAGTTAATGAGCAGTTTTTTCAGTAGCTTTTTATTTGTTTTGCTGAATCTTCTGACTTTTTCTTGAAGCTGTAACACATTCTCAGAAATAATGGTTTCCTCCAAAGGTTCCTTTGTTTCTGTGATCTTCTCTTCAAAGCCCGTCACCCTGTTAAGAATGTCTCCAATTTCTCTCAGGAACTTTTCAAACTTCTGCTCAGCCTCTGGTCCTGTTACTTTTCGGCTATCTTGTTTTAGGGAAGGGAGGGAGCCCCAGCATGAAGAGGGATGTGGTCCGATTTCAAATACAGCAATAGTAATCCCAGAGTCCCGAATCTGTTGATGAAAAGCAGAAGTAGGCTCACTGGCTTGAGACAGGCTAGATGTCTCAGCTGAACTCTCAGAGCTGGCCATTGGTGCTCGAGGAAAGCCGAAAACCTTAGCGATTCCAAGGACAGGTGATGGTCCTCTGTGCAAATGGGTGGAGAGCGTGGAATGAAGCTGAGGGATGATGGTTAGGTGGAAGGTGACATCTCAGACAGCCTGGGGGGGAGGGGGTGGGAAAGGGGGCCAGGAGCTGGGGCTCCATCTCTCCTTTCTTAGGCTTCTGGTATTTATTCCCTGACCCTGGCAACCAGGTCTTTATTCTGTCACTGTACGATTGTGGCCTATCCCCAGCTTCTCTTTCCTTTGTGTCACAATGGAAACCTCTTAAACTCCTGCCCAGTGACTTACATCAAAATCAACCTTGGGCTGCTCCTACTCCCCACCCAAGAAAGACCTTGTACCAGTCCTTCCCCTCCTAACTCTTAGGTTCCTATTCACCTGTTCTCACCACACTCCAGTGACTTCCTCACCTCACCAGCCCCCCCACCAGCCCAGCCTCAACCTGCAGCAGGTTTGAGTCCCTCCAAGGGCCTGGCTGAGCTAGGCCCCCAGGAAGTTCCCCATTCTTTCAGAACCTGAAGGCCTTATTGCTCCCATTCTAGGGGAGATTCAGCTGTAAAAGAGAGAGATACATAACAGAACCAAAAGTGCTGCATCTTTTTGTGATTTTAGGGAAATAATGTCAGGAATCACTCTAAAAATATTCTACTGCAGTGAATGGGTCTTTAACAATACAAATACAAATTGGAACTTTTTCTGGGCTTTGAAATACAGCATCCTGTAAGAAGTCTAATGAAGACCCTGTCTCAAGAAAAGGGCAGGGGGCATCTAAGATGCAATTCAGTGCTACAGCACCCTTGGGTTCAATCGCCAGCATCAGAAATAATAAAAGTTAATTTTCACAGTAACTGGTTAAAATAGATTTATTCTAAAGTATGTGAAATAGCTAAATCCAATTGTGGGTTGTATGAAGTAATGAAATAACTTGAAACCTAGTGTCTTCTTGTCTTTTTGTCCTTAGGAGTCAGGACCTTGAGAATATTAAGTTCAAAGTGTTCCTTGGGTGAGACTTTTCCTTGGTCTTCAACATCTTGCAGCCAAGTACTGACTTTGCTTCCAATTTTAAGGAAAAATTCAGACTTAATATTTTTCCCTTAGAGAAGAGAAATTAATGGGCTGTTGTTTTGTTTTTTGTTTTTTTTTTCTTCCATGTCTACCAACTCAAGTTGGCTTTGGTTTCTCTGAGCCGCATGCTCATCTTCAGCCAGTGGGGCTCAGAGCCATGGCTGCTGCCCACCCACACAAACAGTGCTGAGCCAGCAGGCTGGCTCCCTTTTTATTCTCCCTCCCCCCTTCCCTTCCTTCCTTCCATTTTTTTAGTGCTGGGGATCCCACCCAGTGCTTCACATATACTAGACAAGCGCTCTCCACTGAGCTACACCCCAGCCCCCTGATTTTCTTTTTGCTTGAAGAAGGAGCACCTTTTCTATCCTGCATGGGGATGACACAGAGGCCAGCACTGCCCCACATTTTCATCTTGAAGGTTCAACTTTGGTTGTTACTTCTCCTGACTCAGCATCATGCGAGACAGTTCTAACATCTTCAGGACAAGGGAGATTCTTCCTGATTTGGTAATTAATTTCTAGCTTTATTTCATTATAATTAGAAATTATCAGGGCTGGTGATATAGCTCAGTTGGTAGAGTGCTTGCCTTGCATGCACGAGGCTCTGGGTTCAATCCCTAGCAACACACACATACACACACACACACACACACACACACACAGACACACACAAGAAATTATCTTTTACCTAGTATGGGCAAGGCCCTAAATTTAATTACTAGCAAAACACACGTATGTGCATACACACAAAAAGAAAGAATGGAAAAGGAAAATGTATACCTTTGGGAATGAATGGATATTTCCTTTTGAATGTGATAGATTATCAATGTTAATACTTGGTATTATCAATGTTTATACCATTGGTCATAAAACTGGTTTTATCCTTGTGGAAAGCTGTGATTTGAATCATGGTTTCTGATTGCCTCATGGCAATGGGAACTTCCTGTGCAAAGATACAGGTCAAGACGGCCCAGTTGCTATTGTGACCCTGGCCTGAGGAGGATCCATGCGAAATCAAAGAGCTATATCTGTCAGGACCTTGTGCTTAGGCACCAACTCCCTAAGATAGAGAATTCTGAGCATAACAAGATAACCCTAATGTCTTGCCAGTCCTGTGTCCTTCAAATTAGCCGCTTTGCTAAAACATCCCTACAAATAACCTTCTGATGAAACCTACATAACCTGTACTAACTCTGGACCCTTCATCCTCCATCAGGGGGTGATGTCCCACCTGGTCTCCGCTTTTTCTCTATGTGTGTCTGTCTGTCTTGTCAATTCCCCATCTTCCTCCATCCAGTGTTTTTCCTGAATTAACCACTGCTGCCGAGAGCAAAGACAGGGCTACGGCATACCTTGTCTTGATTTTTATGGAAACTGGTTTGAAGTAGTCAAGAGAGCAAGAAGTTTTTTTTTTTCCCCCTTTCATCAAAAAGGGATTTAAACATTCCTTTTCTCCTTACAACTATAATAAATACTGTGTTCATTAGCTTTTTTCATCACTGTGACCCAATATCTAACAACTTAGAGAGGTAAAGTTTATTTGGGGTTCATAGTCTCAGAGGTCTCAGTCCATAGATGGCCGGCTCCATTGCTCTGGGCCCAAGTGAGGCAGAACATCATGAGTGAAGAGACTAATGGAGGAGAGTTGCTTAGCTCATGTTGGGGTCAGTAAGCAGAAAGAGGGAAAAAGGAAGGGGCTAGAGGAAGATGCCCCCTTCCAGGGCACACACCTAGTGATGTACCTCCCCCAGCTACACCTCACCTACTTAATTACCACCCAGTCAGACTTTTCAGACTAAGTTGAACAGATTAGGTTACAGCTCTCATAATCTAATCATTTCACCTCTGGACGTTGCTGAATTAACAAAGGAGCTTTTAAGGGACACCTCATATCCAAACTATAACAAATTCCAATTCATGTTTCTGTTAATTTTACTGAAATTTGAGTTTAGATGCTGAAAGTTACACAGACATTTTTATTGACCTATATTTGCAGTGGATAATCATGAAAATTAAACACATTTGGATTGTGTTAGAATTCTTATCTACTAAGTTTCTCATGCCTTACTAACTTTAAAAAAATTAAAAAGAAAAACTATTTCTAAACTTAGAAAACTTGTGTCCAATTTACCTTTATAAAATCAGTTTGCCTTTACAAAAATATAACATCTTATGCTCTCTTTTAATGCATTTGAATTTTAAAATAAATATCAAAATATAGAATAGATCACTCATGGTTCTTTAGACAGAAACTAAACTCAGACAGGCTTAAGCCAAGTAAACTGAGGTGGAGAGGCAGGTCAGTCTTTGGCTCATGTCACTTAAAAATCTAGGAGTAGCTGCTTCTGCACTCCTGGATTCAGGGACTTAAGTTGTATAATTAGGGCTTGATATCATCACTTCTAAGGATTTTTTTTTTCTCTCTCTCTCTGGATCTACATTCTTAGCAATCATTTTTTTAAAATTTTCTTTAAAATATTCATTTTTTAGTTGTACTTGGACATAATATCTTTATTTTTTAGATTTATTTTTATGTGGTGCTGAGGATTAAACCCAGGGCCTCACACATGCTAGGCGAGCATCCTACCACTGAGCCACAACCCCAGCCCCTTAGCAGTCATTCTTTAGATGTTGTCTTATAGTGACATATTTAACCACTCCAGGGGAAGGGAAAATTCTCTTTCCTCATAGTTTCAGGAGAAATGCCAACGAAAGCATTGACTGACCTGACTTGGGCAGGTGCCTAATAGAGTCTGGGGACAAAACAGCCCAAGGACTGGATCAGGGAGACAAAGACTTTGGGAAACTGTTACCAGAATACAGGGCTTCGAGTGTCAGAAAAAAACCAGCAGATGTCTGCCACACAGCCTAACAGGATAATGGCACAAAGCACTGCTTTCCATCCAAATGATAGGTCCTTTTTCCTCACACAAAAGCATGGAGACGCTGTTCTCTCTCCTCTGAGAGTTCTGATAACCACCTATGATAATAATCACTTATATAGAAACATAAAAATTTTGCCTTAAGTGTGAATAATTTACCTTTTTGTTTTGAAAAAGTTTTAGATTTAGGGAAAAGTAGCCAAAGTAGGAAATTCTCTTGTAATTTTCATCTAGCCTTCCCTAATGTTAGCATCTTATATAGTCAGTACTACGATCAAAACTAACATTGGCATTTATTATTAACTAAACCTCAGTTTGTACTGGGTTATTCAGTTTTCCTGCTAATGTCCCTTTTCTGTTCCAGGATTCCACACTGCATTTTCTTTTTCTTTTTTTTTTTAATGCTATTTTTTAATTTTATTTTTTTAACACAAATGGAACACTATTTTTCATTTCTCTGGTTGTACATGATGTAAAGTTACACCATCCGTGCATTCATACACATGCATAGGGATAAAAATGTCATAATGTTCATATCATTCTATCATCTTCCCCCCACACACATTCCCCCTCCCCTCCACTCTCTCCCCTCCTTCTCCTCCCACTCCTCTGCTCAATCCAAAGTTCCTCCCTTCTTCCCTTGCCCCCTGCCCATTATGGGTCAGCATCCACCTATCAGAGAAAACATTTGGCCTTTGGTTGTGGGGGATTGGCTTACTTCACTTTGCATGGTATTCTCTAATTCCGTCCATTTACTGGTAAATGCCATAATTTCATTCTTCTTTAAGGCTGAGTAGCATTTAATTGTGAACATATACCAGTTTCTTTATCCATTCATCTATTGAAGGGCATCTAGGCTGTTTCCACAGTTTAGCTATTGCCACACTTTATTTTCTTTTCATGTCTAGTTTCCTTTAATCAGTGATAAATTTCAATAGTTGCTTCTTGCTCAGGACATTTCTGTTGAGTATTGCTCATGCATTTTGTAGACTTTGCTTCAATTTGTGTTTTTCTAATTTCTAGTCATTATTATATTGAAGTTATGTATTTTGGGCAGGAATGCTGCAGAAGTGGAATGACCTTCTCACTGTGTCCTGTCAAAGCACACATGATGTCATTATGTCCTGTATATAGCAAGGTTAACCTTGATTGCTTCATTTAGATGGTATTTGCTGGATTCATCCACTATAAAGCTATTA